CCACAAGTTCAGGAGTTTTCACAAGCAGGCAGGACTGGTACCATTAGGACCAGTCCTCTTTTCCCCAGCATCTAGATTAAGAACTCATTAGGAACTGTGGATACCATTTGTCAGTATACAAAATGATTTCATAAATGCGACCCAACTAGGTAGACTTCATAATCAAATGGAGATATTAACATAGTTTACCTCATTTCTATATTTTCCCATTTTACCAGTACAAAAACAGAGTTACCATGCTCGGTTAGAACTGTGTGTCTCTGTTACCTCTATCTTACATTTTTCCAAGCAGAAGTTATCCTTCTCACTCTCAACCATTATTCGAGGCATGTGAGTTTCCAACTATCCTGCATACTTGTTAATCTTCCACACTAGCATTTCCACACATTATTTCAACAAGTGTCCAGTAAGTATTAACATTTACTATTTAGGAGCTAAGGACATACCTCAGCTGGTAAAGTGCTTGAGAGGATCTGAGCTTGATATGCAGAACCCATGTGAGAAAAGCCAGGCATTGTGGCCCATGCTTGTGATCCCTGAGTTGGGAGGCAAAGGCAAGCAAATCTGAGGCTCACTGGTTGGCCAGCCTAACTCGGTGAGTTCCAAGCCAGTGAGGAATGACATTTCAATGATACTTGAGGTTGTCCTCTGCCTTCCACATGTACAACTGCACACTCCCCCAACACACACACACACACAAAATCTACTATGTGGCAGGGCCACTGCAAGCCTCCCGGAACACATGATAAAGAAGATGACATATGGCACTTATAAATGGGAGAGACTTGAATTTGGGGAAGAACTTTAAATGCTGTGGAGCTATGTGGTGGTCCACTCCAGTCTTAGCATCCAGCATAGATGCTGGAGATGAGGATTCCTAGAGAAATGACAAAGGAAGAAACTTTGAGTATGGGGGCTAGAGAAGGGTGAACGGAGGGGGAGAGCTCTGTGGCTAAGGTCCTCCGGTAGGAACAACAACAGAAAGACTGGTGGCCTGTTTGCCAGGGTACAGGTAACAAAATGAAGACAGATTTTTTTTCAATAGAATTTAATCAATTCTAAATTTAATAAACAAAAAAACAGCAAACTTTAAGATGAGAAATGGTCATCTTTCCTGGTCTTCATGGGCTATCAACATGTAAAAATAATCTAGGTGTGCTGGATAGCTTTAGTGTCAACTTGACACACCTGGGTCGAGGGAGCCTCAATTGGGGAATTGTCTCTATTGGACTGGCCTGTGGCCATGTCTGAGGGGCATCTTCTTGATGAGTGATGTGGGAGGACCCAGCCCACTGTGGGTGGTGCCACCCCTGGGCAGGTGGGCCTGTGTTGCATAAGAAAGCAGGCTGAGCAGGGGCCAGAGGAGCAAGCCAGTAAGCAGCATTCCTCCATGGCCTGTGCTCCAGCTCCTGCCTCCAGGTTCCTGCCCTGAGTTCCTACCTTGGGCTCCCTGATGAACTGTGACCCAGGATATGTAAGCTAAATAAACCCCTTCCTCCCCAAGGTGGTACTGGTCAGAATGTTTTGTCACAGCAATGAAGAAACAAACTAGGACATAGTAATCATTAAGTTCTGACTTAGAATATTCTGAGCACTAAAACTAATTTTCCAAATGTTCTCCAGGACTTTGTAACACACAGGCTAAAGAGATAGCTGCGGCTACTCAGCTGAGCAGGCTCACTAGTGCTTCCTCAGTCTCTCTGAAATGACCCCAACTTCCCATTGGCTGACTTCCTGTCTTTCAAATCTTTCTTATCACTCAAATCTTTCAACGCTTACCAGAGGGGGCCCCTGACCACACAACCTAACGGAGTCACACCCAGTTAAGGTCCATCGCATCCCGCCTCCCGCATCCTGCATCCCACTGTACCTATCCCTATCTGACAAATGTGTGTGAATTTGTTGGCTTCTTCTCCAGATTAGAAGTTCCATGAGACCAGGATCTTGCTCACGTTATTCACTGATGTCACTTCCGGCGAGAGCCAATTACTATTTCACAGACAAGGAGCAAAGCTGGAAGGAAAGCAGACCTGAGGGCACCTCTGACACACTGGATTTTAAATAATGCCCAAAAGCTCCAATTACAGGAGGATTTAGCTTAGACATGATTAAGTGAGATTGAATAACATGGAAGGCATTTTTAAAATCCCCAGCTTAGGCCATCCTGGTGGGGCATGCGGTTGATTCCAGCACTCAGGAAGCAGAGACAGGCAGATCTCTGTGAGATCAAGGCCAGTGTGGTCTACATAATGAGTTCCAAGCCAGCTGGGCTACAGGAAGACCCTGTCTCAAAAAGACAAAACCAAAATTGCCAACTTACAAGGAGATGCTGACTTCAGTTCAAAGTGGAGTTCTGCATAGTAAGAGAAACATCATAAACTATGTAGTCTGGGCCACGGGCATTGAGGTCTGAGCCCAGAGTCTTTATGAATAAGTACAGTGTAACTAAATTCATTTCCACTAGTGATCAAAACATAAGAAATGGGTTAAAGTACAGAGTAATTTAGAATTTAGCTTAAAGAAAACACTTACTAAAAGATCTGTTGTGGGGCTGGAGTGATGGCTCAGCAGTTAAGAGCACTGACTGCTCTTGCAGAGGACCCAGGTTCGGTTCCCTGCACCCACATGGCAGCTACAAACCGTCCTTAACCCCAGTTCCAGGGGACTCCGAAGCCCTCTTCTGACCTCCGTGGCATTGCACGACACGGTGCACTCACATACATGCAGGCAATATACTCATACACATAAAATAAAAATAAATAAAATATTTTTTAAAAAGATCTGTTGTGGGGCTGGAGAGATGGCTCAGCAGTTAAGAGCACTGACTGCTCTTGCAGAAGACCTGGGTTAGAATCCCAGCACCCACATGGCAGCTAACAATTGTCCATAACTCCAGTCCCAGGGGATCCAACAGCATCTTCTGACCTCTGCAGGCACTGCATGACATGGGTACACTTACCAACATGCAGGCAATACACGCACACACATAAAATAAAAATAATAAATAAAATTAAAGAAAAAAAAGATCTGTTGTGACACATTAAACCTGTAATACTAAAGATGAGGGGTAAAGATGAAGTTCTAAAGTCCCTAATTCTGGTATTAAAACAGTTCTGTTTAGAGCAGGTTCTATAGAAGGTGCTACACAAAGTAAGTCTAATATGCTGCACAGTCAAGGTGTTCTTCAAGTCAATTATATTAAATTTCTGGAATACTTGCACTTTCTAACCTGAACTGACCTAGTCCTTACCAGAAAAATCAGCTAGGAGAAAACACCAATATAAACAGTACCAAGCAATAGTTTTAGGACAAACAGAAACATACTCATGATTTCTTTCTGCTCAGAATATGTGTTTAGATCTATCAAGTAAATTAATAACTCAGGCAAGAAGATAATTTGTGAAGACAATGAAGTTAGAAGACATCATCTACAATATGCTTAGACAGGAAGCCCCAAATGCCAGCAGGAAGCTCCAGTGAAGGGCCTGGCCCATCAGTGCAAACCAGCATATGCTCCATTTTCACCTCTACTCTGGAGACCGAGGTCCTCACAAAACCATCAGCACTCAGTACTGCACCTCAAAACTTCTTTTTTTTTGGTCTTTTTGAGACAGGGTCTCCCTGTAGCCCCAGCTGGCCTGAAACTCACTATGTAGACCAGACTGGGCTTGAAGTCAGAGATCTACCTGCCTCTACCTCCCAAGTGCTGAGACTAAAGGCATGCACCCGGCTTCCACCTCAAAGCTTTAAAACCATGATCATTCCCATGAGTACTAACTCCTGTAACTTACTCTTTTAAAGGATGGGAAGAAAAAAAAGAAGGGAAAATTTATAGATTAAAGAGATTTATGAGATATATAAACCAAACATAATATATGACCCATTTTTGGGTTCTAACTCAATAAACTTATGGTGAAACAGATTATGAAAAGGAAAGTAAGACCACTGGCCAAACGAGACACTAGAAGATATTTAGAAACACTGTTTATACTTTCCAGGTGTGGTGATAAGATTGTAGTTGTTTGCAAAGTGCTCTTCTGTTTTAGAAATACCCACTAAAACAGAAATAAACAGATATCCTTGGGGGCTCAAGTATAACTCAGTGGTAGAACCCTTGTCTAGCATGTACAAGGTCCTGAGTTTGATTCCTAGCACCACAGAAGAAGGAAAAAAGGGAAGTCCTAGATTCTTTAGTTAAAAGGTCATCCCTGATGCATTCTAAAATAAGTCAAAGGAGACTGAAGGTGGGATGGGGTAAAAGAACAAAGAAATGAGGCACAGAAACGGCTGCTGAAGCTGACCAATGGGCACACGGGCTGTAGCACACGGGGTGCCAGCACACGGGGCTGTAGCACACAGGGCTATAGCACTTTTTTTTTTGCCTGCTTTAATTGTTCCTCATTTAAAAAAATTATACTTATAGATAGGATAGGTCTATATTTTTTATTTATTCTCTTTGCTCTAAAACCCATCAATGACTTCCAAATGCCTGGGACCAGTTTTCAAGTTCCTTTGCAATCTTATGGTTGTTCTTTCTCCTGTGAAGGCCTCAAGGGTCCACCGCTCCTTGACTATGCAACTCTCCTTGGAAAGTGCTTCTAACCACATCTATGCTTCTCAAGTACCTCCCCTTCCTTCCTCTTCCACTCTTCCTTCCCAGGCCATTTGCCAGCCTACATAAGATGCCCCAGCTTCACCACAGGTCACAAGGGAAAGGTGCCCGTGCATCTCTGTGCATCTAAGGGCGTATGCACTTCACACAGTGAAGTGGAAATGAAGGCTGTGGTCCTGCCGGGAAGAGCCTGCTCCTCTGCCGCTCAGTACTCCACTCACACTCAGGAAGCACCAAAGGCTTTCACTAAGTAGATTCTTAAAACCATTTTTAAAAAGGACATTTTGGTATGTTTGACAGAACTCCAATTCTGCTGCTCAAGATGCAGATTTCATTGAAGACTCCTCTTCTGTAATGAGCATAGGCACATGCATGAAATGAACATTACCTTATATTTCATCTTGGGACAGGAGTGAATGTAGAAACCCATGTAATAATAGCTGACTTGAGAAGTTCTTTCATGGAGCTGTCTAGTAAAAGCAATTTCTCTGCCAAAAGATGATGAAGATACAGTTAATTCTGGGCACATTTTTCAAAAACCTATAAAATTTGATAAATACTTGATAAAATCTAATGGTAAGTATTAACAAATCCAACTCTTGAAAGAAAAGTAAGTCTTAAAACATAAGATGGTTTGGGGCTGGAGAGATGGCTCAGCAGTTAAGAGCACTGACTATTCTTGTAGAGGACCTGGGTCCGATTCCCAGCACCCACATGGCAGCTAAGAATCATCCTTAACTCCAGTTCCAGGGGAATCCGAAGCCCTCCTCTGATCTCTGAAGCACTGCACAACACAGGTGCACTCACATACACGCAGGCAATACACTCATACACATAAATATTTTTTTAAAAAAAGATGGGTTTTTACTTGAGATACCCCAAAACTTAAACTATTTTGAATACAACAAAGTACAAATTTTGTATATTATTGCACAAAATAACTGACCTAAAATTGAACATAAAATTAAAGAGAGCTACACTGTCTTATTATTCACTGTATCCCAGAATTCTCAACAAATCTAGGCTGTTAATAGTACAACAAATTTTAGAAAAACTTAATGGTCATTAAATTTCAGGAAAAATGCATGTTTACAAGCAAACCCTTTTGGCAGTATATACTACAGAACTCACTGTTTTAGCTAGGTGCAAAGTTAATACACATTTCCCTAAAATGAGCTCTCCTACCATGCTTTCTCCATTTGCTGGCGGAGGCGAGGGCTGCTTAAACAAAAACATTGTATCTGTATCTTTACTGCAGTGCATATGGGTGAAGCGGTTATAATCTGTATTCAGATAATCTTGAAACAAAATCTCCCCTACCTGACCAGCTGAACATGTAGTTGTACATAATAGCTTTAAGTAAAATCGGTACATTTCTAAAGCATGAAGAAATTGTTTTATCTCTTTAAAGATTTTTCTTCTTTATTCTTATGTTTTTATTGTATCAATAAATGTATAAAATTCAGAATTTTTTAAAAATATTTTATTATTTTTATTTTATGTGTATGAGTGTATTGCCTGCATGTATGCGAGTGCACCCGTGTTGTGCAGTGCCACGGAGGTCAGAAGAGGCCTTCGGATTCCCCCTGGAACTGGAGTTAAGGATGGTTCATAGCCGCCATGTGGGTGCTGGGAATCGAGTCCGGGTCCTCTGTAAGAGCAGTCAGTGTTCTTAACCACTGAGCCATCTCTCCAGCCCCAAAATTCAGAATCTTTTTTTGGCAGCTTTACTATGTAGCTCAGCCTGGCCTAGAACTTGCACTACAGCCCAGGCTGGCCTCCAACTCCCACCCTCCTATCCCAGTCTTCTGAATGCTGAGACTATAGCATGTACCACAACATCCAGCAGAGAAATTCCATCTAAAAAATTTTTTTTAGTTTATTTATTATTTTATGTATGAATGCCATGCCTGCATGTATGTAAGTGTATCCATGTCATGCAGTGCCCAGGGAGGACAGAAGAGGGCAATGGATCCCCTGGAACTGGACTTATAGAAAGTTGTTAACTGACATGTGGGTGCTGAGATTTCTGAAAGAATAGTCTATTCATTTTTCAAGGACAATTTAAATCTTTGAAAAGTCAACCTAAAATTATTTTCATATTAACAATACTTCTATAACAAAATAAATGCATAGCCCAGATTGCCCTCGAACACCTGATCCTCCTCTCTTCTCCCCTTCTCTCCATCTCTTCAGCATTTGCTTTTATCTAGATGCTATGTAGTATCTAAAATTGAGTTATCTGTTTAATTTACTGTCTGATTTGAAACCCTGCCTGTGTATCTTACACACTTCTATGAATAACCCTAGACCACAGAGTATGTGCACACAACCATGTTAAATTATATTGCAAAAGTTAATCTTCCTAAAAATAGATATCATGCTTATGATCACCACACACTTTCAAAATCTGCAAATTACATCATTAAAATCTAAAAATATGAAAACTATACTGATTATAGAACTGTTTAAGAAACTGAAGAATGGGAGAGAAAAACCACACAGATTTAAAATACGTAAAATACTTAAAATCAATAATAAAACTGGCAATTTGTAACCTGCTTCCCCAAATTTTGCTTCAAAATGTAGTACCCTGGCTGCCTTTCCTGTTCTGTCAACTCAGAGATCTGTCTTTAAAGAGTACTGAAAGCAAGTGACAGGCCATGGAGCAGCGTCACCTCAGCTGCTATCAAGAGCCCTACTCCCTCACTGGCTCTCCAGCTCGAGGCACTGTGAGCAACATCTCAAGTGACAGAGCACTCACCAGTTTTACCGCGAACTGCTTATTTAACTGACTCAAGTGTAGCGGACTATCTAAACCATCTCTTAGTTTATTGACTCATGAAATTTTTTAGACATAGACTAAGATTTACTATGTAAGATTAAATGTTATTCTTGATATCTGAGAAGTCTAGAAAAATCTATAAATGCACAAGGAAAAACAGGATATAAAAATAAAATGAAATCAGTAGAAATATAAACTTCTAAAGTTCTGTAACGTGAAAACATGTGAATGGTAAAGTTACAGAATGTAAATTCTTTAAGTCACCAGCATGTGTTCTAGGGAGATCGCCAAGATTATCATGACCATTTTTAACTATTTTATATAAAATAAAAGCTTGTGAAAACCCAAGCCAGACAGGAGCACAGCATGGATGGGGGGAGCGGGACAGGAAGCCCCAACCATAGCTAAGATCTACTGGCATTTGATAGATGCTGGGAGAGAAAGAGTTTTCCTCACTGGTCTTGGTAGGTTGGCCAGACTCCAAGGGATAGACCCACAACCCAAGAGCTTGGGAAATACAAATTAAACTTAACAGGCCTTTTTAAAAAAAAAAAAAAAAAAAACTAATTATAGAGGAAATAGAGTGTGAGGGGTAGTAAAAGTAGAGTAAGGTGGGGGTGGAGGGGGGAAGGTCTTAATATCATTAAAATACATTGTATAAAATTCTCAAATCAATAAGAATTTTTTAAATGCACAAAAATGAAAGATCCCAGGCTTGGTGGTGCACGCCTTTGATCCCCACACTTGGGAAGTAGAGGTGGACTGATCTCTGTGAGAGCTCAGTCTGGTCTCCATAGTGAGTTCCAGGCCAGCTGTGGCTACAGGGAGACCCTATCTCAAAATGCCAAGATGGGCACCGCAACACAAGTAAAAAAAATTTATAAGCCAGATTTTTTAAAGTCAAATTGCTAAAGAAAACCATCACTTCTAATTCTGTAGTTCAGGGAAAAAAAAAAAACCCATATATATAAAAAAATAAATAAGATAACCTGGCAATACATTTCATCATGGTATAAAAATACTGGGAAACACACACACACGCACAGAGACAGAGACAGAGACTCAAGCTACAAATAAAAGGCAAACCAACTTCCCAAGCTCCTCCCTTCCTCCGGCTGGGATATATACATACTGATAAACAGTAATAAAAATAGAAACACTTTCATGAAGAAACGCACCCACTAATCTCACCATAAAAACATTTGTGCTGCATTATATACACTTTCACTACAGTCCTAAAAGAGAAATCCTTTCTTGATGAGGGTCACAGATTCGAGCAGATAGTCAGGAATTCACATTCCTGTCTTCTGTACTGAGACAGTCATATACCCAACAATGTCTCAGTAACAGACTACACAAGGCAGTGGTCTTCTAAGGTTAAATGACCTAATAACACCACAGCCATTGTAGTTTGTACAGTCTTCAATGTTCACGTAACCATGAAAGTACTTAATGACATATTGTTGCTCAGAATATGGCCCCTTCCTTAAACAATGCATACCTATATAACTATATTTCTTCCAACAGACTTATATTAATTCATTCCCAATGCATTAACTGTATCTTAATGCTGTGAGGATACATATGACAGTGATGACAATACATTTAAGAAGCATAAGAGATCTTGAAAGGTGTTAGACTTTTGGAAAATAAAAGGAAAGAAAGAGGAGTAGGAGATAAAAAACCAGAGCCAGACCTGCAACAGAATATTTCTTCCTTTATTCAAAGAAGATACAGTGAGGGGTAGAGACTGTCCTAGGAACCAAGCATCCACAACTAGCCAAAGAAAATTGGGGCGGGGGGGGGGGGTTGCTACCCGGTTGTGCAACTCAGCTGCACTTAGTGGGGAGTTGAGTGCCTGGGCTTGGTCTCCTTGAAGTGACTGAGAGTCTCCTTCTTATTTCCCCAGAAACTGACAGGAGTGCAATCTGTGGCCCTAGAGGAGACAGGTAGGCTCCACAAACACTTTCTCTCAGTCTTGGGAGTGACCAGCTGATAAGGACTGAGCAGAGCCAGGCCTCTAATCTATATGGGGGGACTTTGTACTTTTACAATTTAGAGCCGTTCAGCCACTCTGATGGTTTTATGCCTTTGTGGTCTCCTCTAATGAAGCTCATGGTTTTCCTGAGGTTCACATATTCTATCAACTGGGAGCTTAGAAAATGTATAAACCAGGGAGCTGGAGAGCACTGAGAGCTCTTACCGAAGACCCCGGTTTGAATCCCAGCATCCACATGGCAGCTAATAACCCTCTGTAACTCCAGTTCAAGGGGATCTAACACCCTCTTCTGACCTGAGGGTATTACACATCATGGATATACTTATAAACATGCAGGCAATACCATACACATAAAATAAAAACAAAATATTTTTTAAAAGAAAATATAAACTAAACAACAAATATATCTCCAAACAAAATACTTTTTATATAAAATTTTATTATTATTACTGTGTATGATGGGGCAGTGCATGCATGCCACGGTGGTCGTGGTGTCAGTTCTCACCTTTCACCTTTATGTGGGTCCTGAGGATCTAATTCAGGCCATCAGGCTTGCCCACTAAGCACTTTACCTGCTGAGCCATCTCACTGGCCCCTATAATGGTTTCTTATATAGTAAAGTGTGTACAAACATTAAAGCTAGAGAATTACCATCAAACAATAACATCAATTTTAAAATTGTTACCTTTTTCAAAAGGTTTTTTTTTTATTTTTATGTATGTATGCACGCTCGTGTAAGCAGGTGCCTGTGAAGAGCAGAAAAGGGGTGCGATCCCTTAGAGCCAGAGTTGTAACTGATTTTTAAGCTGCCTGATGTGGGTGATGAGAATGGAACTCTGGTCCTATGAAAGAGCAGAAAGTGCTCTTAACTGCTGAGTCATCTCTCCAGCCCATTAAAACTTATTTAAATACCAATATATAACTAAGGGACTAGTAAAGTAACAAATCACTAAAGTATGCTAGCTAGCAAAAAGAGATTTCTGTTACATAATGAAATAAAACTAAATTATTTAAACTTCCATGCAACCCATTATAACTGTAAGAAGCAATCTTACCTTAACGCTGAGTAGACACCCAAAGATAGAAATGAATAATCAGGATCGTAGTATAAATACACAGATGAAACACAGTATGGAAGGATGTCAATCACCCCCACAGCAATGATCTTCCCATCAAGCCAGTACTGCTGGTGAAAGGAGCCATACCCACACTCTGGTCCATTAGCAGGATGCTCTGCCTATGAGAAAGCAGACAGAAGCAAGACAGGCAGCCGTGTTTTCTGCATGTTAAAATGATCTCTTAATCTACTAAGACTATTTTACTCAAGTTAATAAGCCCTGAAATTTGCTTTGTTGTCTCCGCCTTCCCGTCACATCCTGTGTTAAGTTGCAAAATGTTTTACTTGTAGAAACACTCCAAACAGAATGATAAAGGAGGAAATCAGGGAAGGGAGAGATGGGAAAATGTGAACGTAAACAGCATGACTGGATAGGGGCTCAAGGTACAACTGACTAGGAAGAAGAATCAGAAGCTCCAAGCAAAGAGCTCAGCTGTGGTTGACAAGAGTTAAACAGCAGAGGCTGGGCGTGGTGGCGCACACCTTTAATCCCAGCCTTGGGAGGCAGAGGCAGGTGGATCTCTGCGTGTTCGAGGCCAACCTGGTCTACATAGCGAGTTCCAGGCCAGCTGGAGCTACAGGGAGACCCTGTCCCAAACAAAAATAAAAACAACCTAGAGATTTTGAATGATCTCAATGTCCAGAAATTTGACATCTAAGGTGACACCTACGGCAACTGTCCTGATTTGTCATTACATACTATATACATGTTTTGAAATGTCACATTGAACTCCACGTACAATTATGATGTCAATTAAA